CAGAGGTCAGTAAGCGTCTTCGACCGGATAGGGAACGATCCTAGCAATAGGATCCGCCCTTCAAGAGGGTCGGCCCGGTCAGACAACGAAGAGGAGTGTATCCCTCCTCCTAGAAACAGGAAGGAGAGGAGAAACTTAGTCGATTGGGGGAGCCGGGGAAAAGCACCTCCTCCACCCCAAAACGTCCAAGATGACCGAGGATCAGAGGGGCCCTGCCGGTCTTATGAGATTGACGACGATGACGATAACCTCCCTTTCTCAAGGGAAATCCGAAGCTTCCCAATGCCAACTAATTTCATGCCCCCAAAGATCCCCAAGTACGAGGGAAAAGGGGACCCGGAGAAGCACCTCACAAAGTACATGACGCAAATGAGTCTTAGGGGAGCCTCACCTGCTCTAAAGTGCAGAGCCTTCCATTTAACACTAGGCGGAGCCGCCGAGGTGTGGTACAGCAGGCTTCCTCCCTTAAGCATCAGAAGTTGGCCGGATTTGAAGAAAGCATTTTTGAACCAGTACCTCTCACGCAGGGAAGGAGAGGCGCCGATCCAACGCCTGCAAGACATGAGGCAGGCCCCTGGAGAGACGCTGAAAAGCTATCTCGCCAGGTTTACAGACGAGATTACTTACTGCGAACAGGTCACTGACAGGGAAGCCCTTTCGGCCCTGAAAGGTGGTCTCAACATGAACACTTTGTTTTGGAGGGACGTGCGCAGCAAGAATCCTTCCACGTACGACGAGCTGGTGGAGATGATGAGGGTGGAAATAATTAGTGAAGAAATGATTGATCATCGTAACCGTGCTGCGCAGGGAATCCCTCCCCCACAGAGGCAGGTAGGTCGAGGCCCCGCAGCGCACCTTGTTACTCAGCAATGGAGCCAAGCAGGGCATACCATAGCTCCCACATCCGGACAGGCCCTAGCTTCCGCCACATTGAACGCAGTGCCGGTATTGGCATATGATAGCGCACCCACTGAGGCAGCACCATCCGGAAGAACTGACAACAAGAAGAAGAAGAAGAGGCCAAACAGGCCCTTGCCAGGAGCAAGATTTTGTACTTTCCATCAACTATATGGGCATGACACCAGTGAGTGTCGGGATGCCAACCGGCACCCTGATCGAAGCAACCCCCTCACTTTCAGCAGAAATGAGCACCCCCGCAGATCCACCTCCCCGAGGAGGGGAGGAAGGAGCCACCAGGAACAACTTCCTAGCAGAAGAGAATCAAGGAACCGAGGCCAATCCAGGCAAGAGAACCAAGCTCAATTCGCTGGAAGCCAGGTCATCAGGGAAATCGATACCATCATCGGGGGACCCCACGTCGGTGGAAACACCAGGAACGCCCAGAGAAATTATACAAGAGAAGCTAAGGATCCCCCGATGATCACCTACATTGTCGACAAATCAAAAACAACAAACAAGATGGCCCCAATCACCTTCTCGCAGGAAGACGCAGAGGGAGTTCACCATCCCCATTGCGATGCTTTGGTTGTAAAGGCCGTAGTGGCTAGAAACGGATTAAAACGCATGCTCGTTGACAACGGCAGCTCCGTGAACATATTGTTTGGCTCCACTTTTGACAAAATGCAAATTGAATATGGGTTAATCCCCATGACCGACCCACTGTTCGGATTCACTGGGGACAGCATCATCCCACGAGGGCGGATTACCCTGCCTGTGGAAATGGGTTCGGCCCCCCTGGTCGCCCAGTATTTCATGGAGTTTCTGGTGGTAGATCATAGGTCGGCTTATCATGGGGTGTTGGGCAGACCGGCTCTAAAAGATCTTTGGGCTGTGACGTCCATTCACTATCTGTGCATGAAATTCCCAACCGAACATGGGATTGCAACGGTTCGGGGCGATCAGATGAGCTCCAGGGCATGCTACCTGAACTCGCTACGCAAATCGGAGCCCCGGACTGTCAATATAATTCTGGCAGAAGTACCCGCTGAAGTCTGTACGGACGTGGAGATGCTCGACGCCCCTAAACAAGGGCATACCTCTGAACAAGAGGAAGATGTCATAATGGAAGAGGCCCCTGAACAAGGACACCCTCTTGACGAGTTAGATCCCCGAATAATTGATTATGAACCAAACGCGACCCCAATGGAAGAACTGGAAACCTTTCCAGTCAATCCAGAAGACCCCAACCAAGTCTTGCGCATAGGGAAGTCATTATCGCCTGAAGCAAAAATTGAGATGATACGATTCCTGAAAGAAAACCTAGATGTCTTCGCATGGAAACATGAGGATATGGTGGGAATAGATCTCAGGATCAGTTGCCATCACCTTAACATCAACCCCTCCTATGCCCCCCATAGACAGAAGAGGCGCGCGCTGAATCCGAAACGGTACGAGGCGTTGAAAGACGAAGTAAGTAAACTCGATCGCAGTGGTTTCATCAGGGAGGCCATATACCCGAGGTGGATATCCAACCCGGTTCTAGTGAAAAAGTCTAGCGGGAAATGGAGGGTCTGTGTGGACTTCACAAACCTGAATAAGGCGTGCCCCAAGGATAGCTTCCCGCTTCCAAGAATTGATCAACTGGTCGACTCCACTGCTGGGCATGAACTACTTAGCTTCATGGATGCGTACTCAGGGTACAACCAAATACCCATGTTCCGACCTGATGAGGAAGCTACATCATTCATCACGGACAGGGGGCTGTATTGCTACAAAGTCATGCCCTTCGGATTGAAAAATGCCGGGGCCACATATCAGAGGTTAGTCAACATGATGTTTGCCGAACTCATTGGCAAAACCGTGGAGGTCTACGTGGACGACATGTTGGTCAAAAGCCTCCAGGCGGGCGAACACGTGAGTCACATTGACCAAACCTTCCAGACACTCAGGAGGTATAACATGAAGTTGAATCCCCTCAAGTGCACTTTCGGAGTGGCATCGGGCCAGTTCTTGGGATACATTGTAAATCAGAGAGGAATTGAGGCAAACCCTGCAAAGGTGGCGGCTATAATAGAAATGAGTTCACCTCAGAAACCAAAGGAGGTCCAAAGTCTCAATGGCCGGATAGCCGCCCTCAGCCGCTTCATCTCCAGAGCCACTGATAAAAGCTTACCTTTCTTCAAAGTATTGAAGCAAGGAAAGAGATTTCAGTAGACTTCGGAATGCCAAGAGGCCTTCGAGTCTCTAAAGAAACACCTAGGTGAATCGCCCCTCCTATCGAAACCCCATCCGGATGAATCTCTGTTGCTGTATCTAGCAGTGTCAGATGTGGCAGTCAGCGCGGTCCTAACCAGGGAAGAAAATGAGCGTCAATTGCCGGTATATTACATCAGCAAAGCACTTCTCCCAGCTGAAACACGCTACTCCGACATGGAAAAACTGGCACTCGCACTTATTACAGCTTCGAGAAAGCTGAGGCCATATTTCCAAGCTCACTCAATACAAATCCTCACCAATTTCCCCTTAAGGCAAGTAATGCAGAAGACGGACGTGTCGGGACGCCTACTGAAATGGGCTATCGAGCTCAGCGAGTTCGATCTCACATTCCGACCTAGACACGCTATCAAGGGCCAGGCCCTTGCCGATTTCATGGTCGAATTTACCAAAGCCCCAGAGATGGAGGCCCTGATGGAGCCAGCCGAGCCCCCCGCATGGAAATTGTTTGTAGATGGGTCTTCAGGAGAGGCAGGCGCAGGGCGGGAATCGTACTGGAAAGCCCGGAAGGTCATTTGTTGAATTGTGCGGTAAGATTCGACTTCGGAGCCTCGAACAACGCAGCCGAATATGAGGCCCTTCTGGCAGGACTAAGGCTTGCCAAGGAAATGCAGGTCAGGAAGCTTCTGGCAAGCAGTGATTCTCAGCTCGTAGTAAATCAGGTGAATGGGGATTTCGCGGCCAAAGATGATAACATGCGCGCATACTTGAAGCTGGTTCTGGACATAATTCCCCATTTCGAAAAGTTCAAACTGACTCAAGTCCCCCGTCTAGAGAATGCCCATGCAGATGCCCTCTCAAAGTTGGCCAGCAGCGTGAACTCAAAGCTTTTGAATATCGTCCCCATTGAGCACTTATCAAAGCCCTCCACCTTCGAGGGTGAAGAGTTACTATGGATAGAAGGCACCCCATTGTGGATGCAGCCCATAATTGCATATCTAAAAGAGCAAACGCTGCCTGCTTCCAGAAGTGAAGCAAGGAAGTTAAGAAGAAGGGCTGCACACTTCGTCCTTCAAGAAGGAACCCTTTACAAGAGGGGCTTTGCCTCTCCCCTTCTTCGATGTGTAGGCGGCGAAGAGGCCACCTACGTACTCAGAGAAATACATGAAGGGATCTGCGGAAATCACTCAGGAGGGATGGCTCTGGCACACAAGGTTCTCCGTCAGGGCTACTTCTGGCCAACCCTGAAAAGGGATGCTTGCCAATTTGTCCAGAAATGTGACAAATGCCAGCGCTTCTCGAACGTACAAAGACAGCCTGCACAGAGCCTCTCTATAGTGACCAGCCCTTGGCCATTCGCCAAGTGGGGCATCGACTTCGTTGGTCCGCTACCAAAGGGTAGGGGAAGCGCAACTTTTGCCATTGTCGCCATCGACTACTTCACTAAGTGGGTCGAGGCAGAACCCCTTGCCCGAATCACCGAGGCCAACACTACGAAGTTCGTTTGGAAGAACGTCATTTACAGGTTCGGCATCCCTCACTCCATTGTCTCTGATAATGGGTGGCAGTTTGACAACAGGAAGATGCGAGAGTTATGCGATGAACTAGGCATAAAGAAAGACTTCTCGACTCCACATCACCCTCAGGCAAATGGACAGGTCGAAGCAGTGAACAAGACTATCAAGTACACCCTGAAAAGGAAACTGGATGCCTCAAAAGGCGCTTGGGTTGACGAATTCCCCCACGTCCTCTGGGCCATCAGAACAACTTGCCGGACCGCAACGGGCGAGACCCCATTCTCAATGACCTACGGAGCCGAAGCGATGAGTCCGGTCGAGGTCGGTGTCCCATCACATCGGCGGATACATTTCACTGAGATCAGCAACGATGAGGCGCGCATAAGTGAACTACACCTCGAGGAAAAGAGAGACGCTTCCCAAATGACCTTAGCGAAATATCATCGTAAGATGACCCACTTTTACAACTCCAAGGTCAGAAACAGGACTCTCCGCTTGGGCGACCTCGTTCTCAAAAGAGTGTTCCAATCTTCGAAACCAACCGGGTCAGGAGTTTTTAGCCCGAACTGGGAAGGCCCGTACCGCATTCAGGGAGAATCCCGACCTGGTACTTTCGAGGTCGAAGATATGTCAGGAAGGGTGTTACCTCACAAGTGGAACATCGAGCACTTGAGAAAATACTATCAGTAACAAGAATATTCCGATTTGATCCTAGGTCGTCATAGCTAAATCGGTTGTCCTGATCTGGCATTGGTTGTAAAGATTATTAAGGGATGGAATTACCTTTGTAAAGGGTGGTGTAATTTATCTTCAGTAATGAATTTTCAGTTCCAAACCGGATCAGCCAGGGAATGGTTTCCTCAGTTCTTCGAAAGGTTCATTTGAGCGATTCGATCGTCACTTATTAGCTGAACAAACGTTTCCTCGCGTTTTCCCAATTGATCTGGCCTCAGATTATTAAGAAGTTAAGGTAAGGGGTCACTTCCTACTCACTCAAGTGTTTACTTATGTTCGCTTAAGGGGACCGATTCACGATTGTTAACTGGTCGTTGTCGCGAGGCAGTTGGCCTAATGTTTGTCATTCATACAAGTATAAAACAAAAAGGGATACAAAGAAGCAGAAGCAAAAGAACTTTACAGAAATTTAACAAAATTTTCCATTTCATGAAATTGAAGTAAATGTGGGGCCGAAGCCATTACAAAGGAAACCCTAATCTGTGGGAGGAATTTCAGCACTGGCCGCCTCCTAGGCCTCTGGAACCTCCTCAGTAACCTTTTCAGGCCGACCTCCAGTGGGGCCCCCGAACTCTGCCTCTAGTTGAGAGATGTGCAGTGTAGGGTGCACCTCCCTCAGCCGATCCAGTAGGTTCTGGGCACTCCACGAGGCCCAGAAGTTGGCAAAATCGTCGTAAAGGGGGTGGTCTTCGAAGTGATCAATAAAATTTTGAACCGCCACCTCCCCCGCAGACTTTAACTCCTCCCTCAGAGAGGCAATCTCCACTGACTGGGCCTCTGCTTGCTGCTTCAGCTCCGCTTTTTCTCTGTTGGAGGGCTCCAGGGCATCGGTGGCAAGCTTGTGGTGCTCGTTAGCGTGGTCAAGCCGCCGAGTCACCACAGCCACCTGGCACTCCACCTCATAGAGCTCTTTTTTTAGCCGCTCCACATCCGCCTGCGAAGCAGCGAGCTGGACCTCAGCAGCTCTCTTCCCCTCCTCTGCTTTGGCGGCTTTGGCCTGGGCAGCCCGCACAGCGTCCCCGTAGTGCATCGCCTCCTCGAGGCGCTTGGCGAGGTCCTCCCTCTTAGAGTTTAGATCCTTCACCAAGCCCTCGAGTTGGATACTTATGCTCAGTGCCCGGGCCACGCAGGCTCTGTTCGCCGCCACCAAGTCTTCGGCAGTGCAGGAGGCGGTGTGGTCCCTCCACTCTTCGGTCCAATACTTGCTGTGGACCACCGCCACTGCAGCTGTTTCCGGGGGGAGAGCCTCCAGCACCTCCCTTACTGGCTCTTCTGAACTGGTGCTGAGGAAGTCAACTTCTTTGCTGGAGCGGGCCCTTTTCCTCCTCTGCTGCCCCGGAACGTGTTCAATAGGTACGGCCGCAAGGGGCGCCGTGTCCGGGGTAGCGACAGGCTCCGTAGCAGTGGGGTTTCTTTCTAGGAGGGCCACCCCCGTGGGAATAGTTGTCTGCCGCATAACAGGGGGTGGCCTCGCCACAGTTGGGCGTCTGGGAGGAGCAGTACTTTTCTTGCCCTTCCTTCGGAGGTCGGCCTCCGGATCCTCCTCCTCTGTCGGAGGCTGAAGTCTCTTACTGGCCTCCACCAGCTCCTCCATTTGCTTCTTATACGAAGAGGAGGAGGCCTTCAACGCCCTTGCTTCAGCTATCATTTTCTGAATGGTTTTGAAGTTGGGGCGTACTGGCAGCTTCTTGTTAAAGTTATCTGCAAAGAAACGAATGAGAAATTAATACAAGTATAGGGAGTTCGGTTTAAAAAAAGTGTGGGCTTCGGTCCTATTACCTTGGGACGCCATTAAGTCGTGAGTGATGAAATGTATGTTTTTCCGAATCAGCCTGTGATATGACCTCTTCTTCTGAGGCAGCTGATAAATAATACAGATAGTGTCGAAGTCCTCTGTCGATAGCTCGCACCGAGGGAGGGAACCTACGAAAGGAAACATTTCTGTTAAACACAAGCCCGGCCGAAGAGAAACAAAATATCAACTACTATACTCACTAAGTGTTGAAAACTTCGCCGGGACCGTAAGAGGAGCCAGGGGGTCCCCCTCCATTGTGTCCCATCGCCCCGCTGCCCAGCACCAAGAGCTCTTCCATTCCTTGATGGAGCTCGGCAGATTGATCACAAATGGAGTGTGGGAACCCCATGAAGTCAGGTAGTACCAACCCCGGGTCTTATCCCCCCCAGCAGTAACCTTGGGTATGTAGAGAGTCTGGAAAACGGAAAGGGGCATCTCCACTCCTAACGACGCCTCTTTCCACAACATCCAGGAGCCCACCATTTGGCTCGAGGAGTTCGGATTGAGCTGCGTCGGGGCTAGCCCGTAAGACCTAAGCACCAACCTAAAGAACGGGTGAATAGGCAGCCTAAGTCCGGCCCTAAGGATCGCCTCACTAATGGCCACGCAGCCCGGCCTTGGGTAACAAGCTCTCTCTTCCGGCCCTGGGAGAATCAGGTCCACACTGTCCGGGATCCTATATTCTGTCCTAAGTCTACCAAGGTCGGCCTCCCTCAACTTTGATGGGTAGTCCGACGCCCCCCAGTGCACAGAAGTATCCGGAGGGCTATCTGGTCGCTTCCACATGTTTTCCCCCCCATTATGGCCCCGGCTATTTCTGAGGAGGTCGCCACAATGGGCTCGTCCACCCTCACTATTTCTAAACTCCTACCCAAACCAGAACTCCCTTCCGAGGCCATTCGTTAAGAAATTTTTAGAGTCTAAATGGGTACTGAAACTTACGAGTTTGGAAGTGTTTCCTAGCCGGAAATTGTGCGAGATCGCCGGAAATATCGCTCTCTCTCTCGCCGGAGTTGCTTGTAGAACGCCGGAAATCGCCGAAAATTTGGGAGAAATTTTGTTTCTTTCGTATGGCAAAGGTAGAAACTCTGATAAGCCCCCAAAGTTCACCTTTTATAGGAAAGACAAATCCAATCTCCACCGTTCAATTCAAATACGATCAATCTAAACCGTTCGTTGTATTCTCGATCCCAGCCGTTGAAATGAAACGCCAGATTTGATCTACGCCCAAGATGTCGCTGTGGCTTTCACGCTAAATTGAAACGCGTCGCCTCGGTTACCAACAGCCGTCAATAATAATTACTGGCCGCAGCAGCCTTCTAGGGGAATGGGCGTGGTACCCAACTGTCACCTTGGAAACACGCAACAGTTGTCAAATCATTGGACTTCCGGGTCGCCTCAGATGATCTCCTCCCCCGACTTTACAAAGCTTAGCCGCAACCGATGCGAACGCCCCAGTGGCCAATCGCCTCGGACGCTGCGTTCCCTCCTATGCTTTACGAAGTTCGAGCCATCTCCCCACGCGTCGATCCCCTTTTTTCGCCAACGCTTCGACGAGAAACGAGTCCCCCAACTTTACAAAGCTTGGACACACCCGATGCGAACCCCCGTTTGCTATCGCCTCAGTCGCTGCGTCCCCTCCCATGCTTTGCAAAGCTTGAGCCGTCTCCCTCTCCCTTCCAACGCTTCGGTGAAGACGGGTCCCTATAATTTTTATGACGCTTTAGCGTACCCGACGCGAGCGTACCATTGGCTCATCGCCTCGGCTCTGCGTTCTTCCCATGCTCTACAAAGTTTCAGCTACCCCCATGCCGCAATCCGATCAGGAAAACAAATCCACGTATAATATAAATATTCATTCTCGGATTTGGGGGACCACTGTTACGCCTCATTTTTATGAGCCTCGGTACCGAGGTATCGAAGTGTCATCTCGCCACTCCGAAGCCGATGAAATCAAATAGACCACCCCGACCTGCCGAAGCTTCTTACCACTCCGACCTCCCGAAGCTTCTCCAAAGTGGTACACCGATTCCTGTCACTGATCTGCCGAAGTGTCCTGTCTCTGAGGTCGGGTTCAAGTGGACCCCCGTTAGAAGATTCGCTGCCAATTTAAGATTTGTTCTTCATATAAGGTTTAAATTGATTTGACGTCCCCCATAAAGCTATTTGATGTGACTTATCAACTTTATGTCAATTCAACTCGGGGGAAACAAACTGTCCGCCCACTCTACAAGCGCGGCTGATTGACGCCTATGAGCAGACGCTTCATACCGTCAGATGTATACACGTGTTCCACATCCCACGGTTCATACCACCTATAAATACCCAAAGATTGGCCAGAGGGAAAGGTAATGAAACTCTCAATAGATAGCACTCCATAACAAGTTTATATATCCTCCTCCCCCTTTATTGACTGATTGATTTGTGTAGTCCCTGGACACTGTTCCGACCACCCAAACCTGACTTGACCGTCGGAGTGTATGCGGCCGCCACCCCCGTCGGTTCCGGCCGTGTGCGCCTGACAGTTTGTTCATTTCGTAGGGAGGAATACATGGAGTAGCTACAAGTTGGCCACGTGGAAGAGCCATTTTTAGAGGTCAACACTATGTAATCAAATTGATACACACAAACCAATCTCATTTTTCTACATGGTATTATAGCAACTAATAGACAGTCCTAGGTTAATAATACTTATTAAGACAAATGTCAACTTTATTAAGAGGAGTATCCTAAACCTTTATAAATTTGTCTATATTTTCACATTTACTCAATATGAAATTTCATCTCTTAACATGCTCCTGCAAGAGGTGGTTCATTTGAGCAGACCAATCTTAAAATTCACGTACTCATCTTTTTGAGTCTTAATTGAATTGAATTACTCATTGGATTTTAATGGATTCTGTGATCCCATATCAAAATTTAGAGTTCCATCTTAAAAAGGAAGTTTTATTAAGAGGAGTAGCCCAATCTTTATAAATTTGTCTATATTTTCATTTTTATCACATGTGAGATTTTATTCCTTAACAATACTTAGTAAGGCAACGACTGACCTTCACTTCAGTGTCATTGGCATTTAGTGATTCCTTTATCAGTTGCTCCCTCTATCCCATTTATATATGCTTCCTAGTTTTTTTGTCCCAAATATATAGGAGTTATTTTTTTATTTTTTTATTTTTATATTGAGCTTGTTCTGTTTTGTTGGTTTACTAATGTGCTCCTTTTTTTTTTTTTTGCCTAGTTATAACCAATTTTTCTACTTAATTTTGAAAGTGTACAAATATAAATAAGGGTAACTATGAAAGTTATTGTCAAAAATTGTTTTTTCAGTAACATTAAATAAGATTTCTTAATCCATATGAAAAACAAAACAAACCTATATAAATGAGACGGAGGGAGTACAAGTTTTTGCCTCCTTTTCTTTCGTTGTTAGC